GTATTGATCGGGCACTTGTGATTTCCGTGACCCGTCGCGTGAATCGCGCAAATCGCGAAAATCAGCGAAACCTGCGACGGATCGCGGACTCTGACACCAGCCTTAGACCGCCGCATCGCGATCGCTCCATCGCTTGTCCGTCGCCGTGTGTGACGGCGGTCTAAGGCTGGTGTCAGAGTCCGCGATCCGTCGCAGGTTTCGCTGATTTTCGCGATTTGCGCGATTCACGCGACGGGTCACGGAAATCACAAGTGCCCGATCAATACTGCAAGGTGTTCTCCAATCCTGCCGCCACTTCTGCTTGATAGTGATGGCTGAATGACGACTGCTCATGATTCCACTTGTTTCATATTCAGTGTTTCAAATGTTCAAATGGGGCACTTGCAATTTTTGCGATCCGTCGCAGGTTTCGCGAAAATCAGCAATCGCGCTTGAGAGACCGCGCTGCCGTGGTCACCCCAACTCTTTTAGCACCGAAGGGTCTACGTCCATCGAAAAGAGCGTGAAGGAAGAGGAGGTGTGCGGGAGGGGCGAGTTTGGGGCGTTCGGCGTAATTCAGATATAGTCGGGAAAGCTCAACTGACTTATTGTTAGTCAGTCAGGTATCCTATCCCAGAATTGTGAGCGTGGTAAATGGCACATGTTGCTAGTACACCACTACGCTTTATTCCGGGAACAAGCTTCGTCCGCCGGTAACCGTGGGAACTTCCTTTTTCTTCGAATGCTTCATGCCTTGCGCTGGGGTTTCTTCCGCTTGTGAGGTCAACACAACGTGAGGACAAGCTATGCAAAACCTAATAATGACGTCACGTTAGAATGGAACCTGAACGCTAATTCGAACCTAGGATCGGTGGCGGTTTGTTTCGCTGTCTCATCTCCCGTCTTCCCCTCCTTTCCCCTCAGGCATATCGCAGTCGGAGAATCTTCATGAAATCATCACATCATGTTAGTGATGCCTCAGCACTGCTCTTAACCTAAGTTTTATTAACAACCCTTTTTCTCTCCCTTCTTCTCCCCTGTTCGTTTATGGCTTTACCTGGGGCGCTTAGTTCCTTCCATTGGCTGCATTTTCATTTCATTTTGCGTCGGACAAATAAAGATCGACCGACATATAGACATACAGTCGATATCCGAAAGTTGGGGTAGGCGTGTCACCGGAAGTGACGTGCACTTGATAGAAGTTGCGTGGATAAGCTGTTGCCAGCATGCTTTGCTGATATCCAGCGATGTATGTTGGAAGCAGCTTATCCACATAGCTTCTATCAAGTGCACGTCACTTCCGGTGACACGCCTACCCCAACTCTCGGATATCGAGTATACATACACTCCATATCGAAGTCTGATTAGGCGTGTCTATGGATTTGACGTGGCGGCCGCCGCACTTGATAGAAGTTGCGCGGATAAGCTGCTTCCAGCATGCTTTGCTGATATCTGGCGGAGTATTTAGAACACAGCTTCTATCAAGTGCGGTGGCTGCCACGTCAAATCCACAGACACGCCTAATCTGACTTCGAGATATGGACAGTACACAATTCGGCCCACTAACTTAGATGTCGGTCAGACTCTGCGATTGCATCGCGCGATGCAGTCGTGTTTGACGTGGTTTCAATGCGCTTCCACCGCGTGCCCCGTAACTTGCGATAGCTTTTGAATTCTTTTGAAGGTATTATGATTCGTTTATATGTTTTATACGTTTCGCTACTTAGGCATTGGACGAAGAGATTCTCCGCATGGCTCCTGAAGACTTGAAAAGCCGGACGCATCTGCTAGATAATGAAATTCGTATTATGAGAAGTGAAGTGCAACGAATCAATCATTCAGTTTCGATGTTGAAAGAACGTATAAAGGACAACAATGAGAGAATCAAAGTAGGTCACCAGATTTTTCCCCGTTATATTTGCTAATTACTCTTCGCTCAGGTTAACAAAACGCTTCCATATCTTGTTTCAAATGTTGTGGAGCTCTTAGACTTGGAGGACAATCAAGAGGAAGAAGGTATTTTGATTTGATAAATTAGGTGTTGCAACAGTATCAAGATTTCCAGAGATTTATTTTCATGTTGTTCACGAAATTTTCCAAAAATTGGTTTTTAAACTGTGGGAGCTAGCAGTGATTTTGCCACAAGGCATTCTTCTCTTTCATTATGAATATGTTTGTTATAATATCATAGTGCGCAAAGTTTGACTTTGGGGATGCGCGACAAGACAAAATGTGCCGTCATAAAAACATCAACAAGAGCCACATATTTCCTCCCTGTCGTTGGACTAGTGGAACCATCTGAATTGAAGCCTGGAGATCTCGTAGGAGTCAATAAAGTATGTCGTTTTAGCGCTCACTTTCGTGTTTTTTTCACTTGCTTTTGCTTTTTATAGGATTCATACCTTATTTTGGAGAAACTTCCAGCTGAATATGACTCTCGTGTGAAGGCAATGGAGGTCAGTTGCGATTTCTTCCGTTAGAAAGTGCTTGCACGTACAATATTATCCTCTGCGATCAACAAGTGCATTCCTTCAGTTTTTGTCACTTTCACAAACATCCAGTGATTCCCCGGTCTTCTGTTTCCACAATCTAAGTCTTTCATTTTGGGTGTGGTGCAGGTGTGCTAGCATTTTTTTTAACCAGTTGGCGCCGCACGCATTGCGCGCGCAACACAGATCTGCTGCGAATTTTGATGGTGCGAAAATTTTCATATTTGGCTTGATACACCACGAATATCTGAATTCTCAGCTAAATTCTATCCGCTCCATCATCGACGGCTTTCAACCTCTTTTTCTTCGTCAACCATTATCCTCTTTTTCCCGGTCTCCGGACTGCTTCCGGACAATAAATCTCGTGGCAAACTCCGCCTACTTCGGTGCGTGCCCCGCCCACCAATAGCATTTGGCCCCCTTCCTTTCGCCGACCTCTACCCCTTTTTTCACCGGTCTCTGGGACCTCTTGGAACCAAATTACGACACTTTTGGCAAACTCCGCCCAATTATGTGCATGCTCCGCCCACTAATAGCAGTTGACCTCCTTTCCTTTGCCGGCCTCTACTCCCTTTCTCCCGGCCTCCGGGACTTGTTGGAGCCGAGTTTTATATTTTCGTCGCAGACTCCGCCCACTTTGGCCAAGCCCCGCCCACCGATGACAGTTAACCTCCACTCCTCCACCCACCTCAATCCACCTTTTTCCCGGCCTCCGGAGCTTCATGGAGCCGAGTTATGAATTTCCGTCGCAAACTCCGCCCACTTTGGTCAAGCCCCGCCCACCATTGACAGCTGGCCTCCACTCCTCCATACACCTCTATCCACCTTTTTCCGGCTCTTTAAGACTTCCCCGACCCGAATTATGAGGGCTTGTAGAAAATGCTGTACACTTCAGAGCGCGCCCCGCCCATTCTGGGCGGGCCTCCGCCCACGTCATGTATGCAGGAAACACCTAGACATTGCTCCCTTACACCAAATTGTTTTCTGCTCTGTAGGCTTTCTCCCAACCGAGTTATGAAATTTTTCATAAAGCACTGCTTTTTTGGAGAACGCCCCGCCCACCGGGGGTGGGTCTCCCTAATTCGATGTGACTTACCAATGCACACCTTAACCCACTTTTTGGCCCAGTTTCGAGGTCGTTTTGTCACTGAAATCGAAATCTTGGTCTTCGGTACAATTCATTTCGACGCACGCCACGCCCTCTGTGGGCGGGGCTCCGCTTAGCTGATGTGTGTTTTGTATTACGTGAGACCCTGCCCACCCATCCCACACTTGACCCGGTCCCTCCAGGTGGATCCCGAGGAGCTAGGGAATTTCGTGACAGACATACAGAACGACACACGACACACGACAGACGAAGCGCTTTATAGTAAGTAGGATGATAGTTCACAACTTGATTCTATCATGCACTTTCATCATTTGTGTTCTTGCCTACATATATCAATTTTTTCCGCACCAAGTGTCTTCGCTCTGCAATCTATCTACGTCCTTGCCTACATCATTTTTTTTTCTTTGTTCCAAGCATGCCTTTCATCTGAAGCACCTGATGAATCTAAAGCAAATACAGTTGCAATGATTACGGGAAAAAGCTGAAGCTTCTTTGTACTTGAAAATTGCGGAACTAAATGGTAAGGAACCTTGCATTAATGCAACAACCCCGTGTGCAGAACAATTTGTTTGTGAGTAGTATAGAGCTGCTCACGAGTGTCACAGAACTGCCGCGTCTCGAAAGTGCGCGACAGTGTGCTAGAGGCCTTATCAAGTGGGTTAATGATTGGAAATGTGGGCTGATGGACTATCCATCGCTCACACTCCGGGATACGCAGCGTGGATCATGAAGAGGCGGTTTATCCAAACACGCGCGGACAAGTGGAGCTACGAGAAAGCGAATTTAGAAAACTCGCTCATCCCGCCTCTTTTTCATCCCAATGAGGAAGAACGGGGTTTCGTTAAGTGCTTCATCAGCGGTTTCCGTTGCTTCCTTTTTCATTTGTAGTCAACTTGGCATCCACACTTCCGTTATTGGCCGCTGTTGAAGCGCCAATTTGGTGAGGGGTTTCTGCTCGAAAGCCCGTTCCATCTTTCCAAACGTGGCGAATGGGCTCAAGAAAGAATTGTAGGAACTCTGCGATCCAACGAAAAATTTGAGTGCCAGCAAATGTGCCCCATGATATGATGAGGCTGCGGTCATATTTTCACCGCGGAAGAGATACTTAGCGATCAAGACATGATCAGTGCGCATCAACTATACCCTCCAACTAAATGCTATGCATTCGCAGTATGTGACAGCGGACTTGGGTTTTTCTTTTCTTATGGTCAGCTCATTTTGGCACTGTACGAGCAAACGGCTATGAAACATTGGCGCCGGGGCAAGAGAGCAGACGTCGAGGAAGCAAATGAGACGCAGACCTTCCTAGAGGATGTCACTTGTAAAAGATCGAGTCCCTGGTGCGATATTCTTGTAAGACCCTTGTCAAACACCTTGGTTCATTCTGTGTTTGTGGAGCCAGCATTCAGTAAGCACTCAATTTTCTGTCGGGTTGCCCAAGGTGGCGAAATTTACCGTAACAGTGGACTTTGATGGCTCACATAATTCGATTACATGATGAAATTCAAGGTTCCACCAAAAGGGGAAGAGTAAGGCTTCAAGTGTAGATTGGTATCACACCGTGTTCGGCTTCACTGCGCGTGATAGCCTGTCTCGGTTCCACCATTCTCATCGTCCCATATGAGAGTGGAAGTACTCGACTGGCTTCTCAGGGCTTGAAACTTTTCTTCCTAGACGAGTTGCGATCGTCTACATTGACGCTTCACCATTTTAGCCGCTGGTGTTACCTCCGGACAGTAAATAGCACAATTTCAAGATTTAGTGGTGTATCAGTGGAATTAGTAAACATTGACTTATTCTTCTTCTGGAACTTACTTTTGCCATTTCTGAGTTCATCTAGCTAAATCACAAATGGAGCAT